AGAAACTGTATCATTGGATAGATTGCCTATTTATTTAACAGCCAATAAGTCCATGGATCAGGAGCTGGAAATAATTTTATTTTCTGCAGAAATATTATTACATAAACACAGCAACAGTAGTATTACTGTTCTTCACACCACCAAATCTGTACTAGGGCAACGTTAGCATGTGGTGAAAATTTTTGCAACCTAGGAAAATATTTTGAACCAAAGAGACTTTTAAGACTTTTTCCTCATTCCCTCCCTTTCAGTTAGAATGTAGCTCATTCCTCAACTCCATCTCTTGAAATCCCTTCTTTCCTTTAAAACTCGGCTTAAGTTGAGTTTCTTCTTCATGAAGCCTTTCCTAGTCTCCCTAACTTCTACAAACATTTAGTAAATGTTTGATGACTGACTTTCCTCCCCAAACTACATTTATTTCATTTCATGTATGTACACACACACACACACACACACACACACACGCATTCTGTATCTACTTATATATGTATGTGACTCCACTCTTGGAACCCAAGTTCCATGAGGGCAGGGACTATTTCACTTTTGTGTTTGCATCTACAATGCTTAGCCTAGTGCCTGCCCCATAGTAGGTGTTTAGTAAATGATAGTGCTAAGAGAAAATGAGAAACCAAAGAGGTCAAGGGAATTGAAGACTCATATCTGGGTCCTCCACCACAGCCCTGCTCTGATGTCTCATGGTCGTAGGGAAGTAAAAATCCTTGGTTCTCAAGGCTGTGTCAAAAGAGTTCAAACTTTGTCATGTTTTCCACCAAGCCCTGACCCCTGGGCTAGCCACTTCATCCTTTTTGCCTCAGTTTCTTCATCTGTAAAATGAGCTGGAGGAGGAAATGGCAAACCACTCCAGTATCTTTGCCAAGAAAACCCCAAATGGGGTCATGAAGAGTCAGACATGACTGAAAAAATATCTGAACAACTTTGGACTATATGTTTCTTGTCTGAGGTCCTGTCCAAATGCAGAGAAAGAGGGTCAGTACTAGGTCATTCTCAGGGTGATGAAATTTCTCACCACAGCAATTTTCTATGGTACTCTGCTAAATTATGGGGTCTCAAGCTGAGGATCAAATGAGTTAATATTTGTAAAGTGTTTAGCACATAGGTGATTAATAAATGCTTCTTCCTTTCTCCCCCTTCCCTCGAATATTAAGCAACTGTAATCTGTGTTGGTGAAGGAGAACCTACTCAGATAAAATTGATCCTTGAAGTACTGAAGTATATTTGGGTTATAATTTCTGACCAGCAGTTGAATTAAATCATATGTAAGTTTTCCAACAACAGTAATTGTTCATTAATGAGTTAAAAATTAGTATTATTGGAGGGAGTATCCCTTTGAGAAGTGAGTTACCAAAATTGGATTATATGTGCATTCTGTTGATCCCAGAAGTTCTTACCCTGGGGTCTTTGAACTTTTTTAAACAATTTGAAACTGTATTTCAAATTAATTGGTTTCCTTTGTAATCCTATGCATTTTATTTTATACATTTGCAAACCTTCTTCTGGAAGGGGTACATAGGTTTCATCAGACTGCCCAAGGAGTCCACATACAAAAAAAAGGTTAGGACTGTCTGAGCTATCACCTTAATGGTTTATCCAAAGGGTTTCATTTGGGAATCTTAGCACAATTAATAGATTTTTGAAGTATCCAAGGGAAAAAAAAATATGAGCACAATGGATCACTTTAGTATTCCTGCCTTAGTTAAGTCTTGGCCATCTTTAAACATACAAATTGAGATTTGTTGATCAATTCATGCAGGCCAGACACATCTAACACCTCCACAATTTGTGATTACTCAGAGATCAATCTTTTCCTTTTACAAGCTTCTCTCTGCAATATCTGATAGTTTCATTCTCTTTAGCAGCTGTCACCAAGAGTTGCCAATTAAATGGTGATGCTGAGGCCTAGGATTATCTGTGTTTTTCGTGTGTGTGTGTGTGTGTGTGTGTGTGTGTGTGTGTGTGTGTGTGTGTGTGTGTGTTTTCTGATTTCTTTTACCCATCAGAAACACAGACTGACCACATATTTTCCCTGTTACCCTCAGGCAGGTGACAGGACTTCAGAAAAGTCTCTGAAGCCACTTTCATGACCTGTTTGTCTTTGTGAAAGGCCCATGCAAGTGTTAATTAACCATACTTTAACGTAGTGACAATAATGAAACATCTGCATATTTACACAGAACAGAGTTTTTTGGAAGGGCCTTCTTGTTTATTACTTTATTAGCTCTGAAGAGCCTCACAGCAACTGTGTGGGAGACAGAGCTAGTATTTTTATTCTTATGCAAGTCACTTGCCCAAGGTTACACAGTGAATCAACTGAAAATTCAAGGGAGGAACCTCTGTGGGTCATAATTTCTTCTTCTGCAAAGTGAGTAGACTGGACTAGAATCAGGGGTTCTTAACCTGGGGTCCATGGACCCTCAAAGGGTTTATAAACTTGGCTGGGGAAAAATTACCTATTTGTTTTCACCAACCTCCAACTGAAATTTAGCATTTCCTTCAGTTATTTAAAAACACGATTCAGAGAAGGAGTCTATAGATTTTACCAGACTGCCAAAAAGGATTCATGACACAGAAAAAGTTTAAGAACCCCTAAGAACAACAATATTTAGACCTAGGAGAGATCTTAGAGACTTCCTAATTATTTGACCTTGAGCTAGACGTAACCTTTCTCTGCCTTAGTTTCCTCAACTGCCAAGTGGGGATAATAGTAGCACCTAACTCCCTGGTTGTTATGAAGATAAAATAAAATGACATGGGGTGTCCCAAAAGTCTTAGTGCATTTTAAAAGTTTCAGTAGACCAAAACTGCAGGAAGACTTTTGGGACACTCTCCGTTTTTGTAAATTGATCTGCAAACCTTAAAGTAATATATAAGTGCTAGCCATGATGACTTAATGATCAGGTGACTTTTCAGATCCACTTTATTCTCATGTTCTGGTGTGAAAAGTGTGCTGGATTTGAAGTCTTGTTACTTCTGTAACTTTAGGCAAGTCAGTTGATGTTGGCACCTCAGATCTGTCATTTGTAAAATGAGGGGTTCTCTGCTAGCTCCAGTTCTATGATCCTTGGTACTCCTTTCTGTCATAACTGCTCTTCATCACTTCTCCTTCACGTGGGGCATCATATCCTTACCTACAGGTGCTCAGCAGAAAGAAATGCAAATTTTGATCACTGAAACCTGGTAAGATATTTTGGGGTTTATGGGCTAGATTTTTTTCTTAAGGACCTTTCCTTAAACCAAAAGTTTTTTGGTTCTCAGACATTAGCCAACAGTAGGTCAGAGGCCAAACCCAGTTGGTCATTGTTTGGGCCCCAGATTAATTCAGATTGAATGTAATTAGAAATCATTTCTGTTTTGGGCAGAAACCCTGAAGGTCTTACCCTTCCAGATTGATTTTTATTATTATTATTTTTGACTATGTAAAGAGGCCATTATCTGCCTCATTTCATACCTAGCCTTAATCATTGAGTGGGCTCTGTCTCAGTCAAAGTGAGACCTGGGAAAGACCTTAGCTTAAAAAGGCCAAGGTCTCCCACTGCATCCAGGGCCATCTCCAGTCATCCTGATCTATAGTGAGGCTGGTGACTTTGCACAGCCTTGCCTCACTTAAAGCCAATTCACTTGCGTATCATGGCATCACCTCCCTGACGCCATGGTCGTCTTTGAGAGCAAAGGACCAAAAACAACAACAACACCACCACCACCACACTGGGACATCCTTCCATTTCACTGCACTTAGGTTTCTAGGTTACCCACACATAGGGAACATTTGCCTGGTGGCCTCTACTCTAAGGCAGCCTTTTTTGGGGTTTTCAAACTCAGGCTGACTTCAGAGTACTAACTGGGGAAATGAAGGCAGGCAGGAGTGCTGGAGAAAGCTACCACATTGAATCTGGGTCATATTAGCTGATACCTGTTTTTAAATTGGCCCATGCAGCAAAATGACCTACAAATGTAAACAATCATTCCATGTAATATTCCTGTTGTGAGTAGGTTGCAGTGTATTTGTGATGGTCTCATTCAACAAGTAGCATGACAGAAATCCTAGATGACATCTACTGTATTGCCTGGAGAAGGTGAGCTGGTCATGTGAGAGCTAGGGATAACAGGATGGTGCTACACTGATATCCCTGAAATATTAAAGGACTGTCACTCCAGAAGTCACTTTGACATACACCCTGGTGCACACCCATAACTCACTCCCCACTCCAGTCTATCCCACACTGGGTTACCAAAGTAAATTTCATAAAGTGATGGTCTGACCATGAAATAACCCTTCTATTCAGTAAACTCCAGGGGCCCCTTATTTAAATTTAAAATGCTGTTTGGAGCCCTACACATCCGGACTTCTTACTACCTTCCCAGACTTCTTAAACCTCACTCCTCCTCCCTTCCCCCAACACACTCTTGGATCCGGCCACACCGACTTATTAGTTGCTTTTCCTAATACACGCCATCCCATTTCCTAGCCTTTACACTGGGTTACACCCCCACCCCCGCCCCCGCAAGCAAACCCTGCTCCTTTCCTCCGCCTAGCTTCCCAGGCCTCCAAGACTGACCTACTTCTAGAGGTCTTTTCCAGTCTCCCCTGGCTTTTTGAAATTCTAGCAAATAGCACAGGGCCCGGCACATAGTAAATACTTGTTGATTGATTCCCAGATCCAGGGGATCCCCCTCTGTGCTCCCTGCCTTGACACCCAGGAGGCCAAGAGGGCTCTCCTCCCACCTGTTTGATTGCGCGCCCCTCCCCCCCATCCTGCAGTCCCAAGCGGGCTAGGCGGGCAGGTGCACTCTCGCCTTACCCCACTTTCAGCTTCGGGTAGCCCAGGTACCTGGGCAGGGGGAGCCCGCAGGGCCCGAGGCGAGGAGGTGGAGGTGTTAGAGGGGGAGGAGGAGGAGTGAGAGAAGGCGGAGGAAGGGAAGAGGTAGCGCGGGGAGGAGTTTGCTAACTTTCAGTTTAAGGGCATTGTGGGAAGCAGTTATGGTCTGAGAAGGCTTCACCTGTCACCTCGGCAGCCCACGGCTCCGGGAGGGGCGGTGGCTGTCGGCTCGTCCCGCTTCTGGCCCGCCCTGTCCGGCAGTTCCGCCGGCCGAGCCCGGCAGGGAGGTGGGCGGCTTGGCTCCTGCCAACATGGTAAGTGACCCGGCGGCGCTGCCGGAGGGAAGGAAGAGACGGGAGGAGTGGAGCGGGGCGCAGCGGGGAGAGTTGCCTTCCTCCCCGGCACCTGCTGCGTGCAGCCCGTGCAGAGCGAGCGCAGCACGGGGAGGCGCTTCCACGCGAGCGCGAGCCCCAGCCCCGGGCCCCAGCCCCGGGTCCCAGCTCCGCGCTCCGTGCGGCGCACCTGCCCGGGACACCGGGGACGCCGGCGCCGGGAGGCAACTTGCGCTCCTGGAGTCCCTGGTCAGGGAGGCAGGCGCTTGCGTATGCTTCCCCAGGGCCGCCTCCCAGGGAGATCAGCCCCAGACGGGAGGTCCGGGGACTTGGCCAGAGTGCAAAAGTTGTGGACTCCTCCGGGAGAGTATTGAAAGTGGTAGGAAGGAGCCCAGAGAGTAAAGCAAAGAACACTGGCTCTGCAGTCCGCGAATCTGGGTTCAAATTGTGCCTCTAATCTTTACTATCTTTGTGACGCCCAACTTACCTGGACGGAATTTCTATATCTGTAAAATGAAAGTTGGACTGAATAAAGTTGGACTGAATGGGTTCTGAGATTCCTTCCAGCTCTGGTTCTAGGGTCTTACGCCTATGGAAAGATGAATTTGAGTGGGATGGCCAGCGTGGCAACAGACAAACTTTCTCCATCATTGAGTAAGTTTCCTGGAGAGCTGGTGAAAGTAGAGGGCTATAGGAAGCCTGTTGAATTAAAATAGGCTAAGGCGAGTTCTGCAGGTAGAGAGTATGGAAAGAATGTAAAGGGCCTTCGGATTCTGCCACAGAAATAACTTTGACTCCTGGGAAGAAAGATTTATCTGCCCAAAGGAAAATCACTTTCTGGCGGAAGGCTCCATTACTTCTAGTGTCCTCTCTGCTTTCTGAATTATACGAAATTCGGGGTGGAGGGTCGATTTTGCTTTGCCTCCTGGGTTTTGGGTATAAATAATGAAGCAGTTTTTTCCGGCCTTGCTTAAATTTCCTTTGGAATTCATGGTGGGGCTTTCAGCCCCCTATCTGTTCCTTCGCTGAATTAAGAGCCCTGCTTTGAATTTTTGAATGTGCTGTGCTGGGAATCTTTAATGAGTTTATGCTGATTACGGTTGTTAGAAAAAGGAATCTGCATCACTGAAGACAGTTGTCTTCTTACTTGATGGAGGTTTGATTAAGGGAGGCTAAAAGAGGCTCACTGCTACTGTGGATAGATCGTTGAGTCTGGAGTATGGAAGACCTGAGTTCATTTATGACCTCAGATATGTAATAGCTCTGTGACCCTGGGCAAGTCACTTAACCTCTGTTTGTCTCCATCTACTGGAGAAAGAAATGGTAAACCACTCCAGTATCTTTGCCAAGAAAACCCCATGCCTAATATTGGCATGCTGTGGTCCACAAAGATTTGGACACAACTGAACAAAAACAAAAGAACTAGGCCAAAAACTGCCAGAGAAAGTCACCTGTTGCCAAACAGGTCCTTCAGTTCTGGAGAGACTGCCCTAGTGGGCTAATGCTTTTTTATTCTCCTATTCTTCTTGCTAGTCTGCTACTGACTCAAGATTTCTCGGTTCTATCCCCTTCCTTTTCTCTGTCATTTGGAGAATGTCAAGGTTAATTACTGTTTCCTATGTATAGTTTAGTGTTTTTAAACAGAAGTTTGGTCATTTGACAATCATCATGAACCCAGATTTCTAATGGCACAAATAGCTTTTAGACTTGAGTTATGTGTATCTGGGTTCTACAGATTGGAGCAAGTTTGAAGCAAGCTTAGGGGTTTCTCTTGTTTTCAATGATAGGCTTTATTTGGAGAGTAATTTAACACTAGTTCTGGGCCTTCCTGCCAAGCACTTCAAGACCTCCTGTAGATTTGCTTTTGATAGGTTATTGAGGTGAAAGAAATCTTAGGGGCCATCTAGTTCCTCATTTTACAGGTGGGGAAACTGAAGTTTACTGAGATTTGAATGGTTTGCCCAAGGTCATAAAGGTGATAAGTAGCAGAGCAGAAATTTGCACTCAAGCCTTCTGATTCCAAATACAGGACTCTCTTCACTCTACCATACTTTCTCCTAAAGAACATACAAGGTTTGGAGACCAAGGTTTGAGCAACAATTTCTTTGTTGTTGTTGTTCAGGTATGTCCAACTTTTTGTGACTCCACTTGGGGTTTTCTTGGCAAAGAAACTGGAGTGATTTGCCATTTCCTTCTCCAGCTCATTTTACAGATGAGGAAACTGAGACAAACAGGCTTAAGTGCCTTGCCCAGGGTCATCCAGCTAATAAGTGTCCAAAGGCCAGATTTGAACTCAGGATGATGAGTCTTCCTGACTCTAGGCCTGATATTCTGCACTGTACCTTCAACACTTTTTAGCTGAGTATATATTTACTAGGTGTGCTTCTGAAAAGTTTGAAGGAAAATTTATTTTTTAAAAAGTCATTCTGTAAACACCATTAGGAGAGAAATCAATTGGGAGTCCTTTTTAAAGTGAGTACTTAAATCCTTTGGGGTTGGAAATCTAGTTTTAGTATTGTATATGATTTATGTAATGTAAGGTATCTTTGTGCTAAAAGGAAGAGGGAATTGTTTCTTTTAAGGCATCTAAAGTTTGAATGTAATGAAGTATAAATCCCCATATTTAAACATGAGTGCATTTATTTATAAGAATCTATATTAACTTCAGGCAGTGTTCCTGCACTGCTCTCTGGGTAATTTGTATTTCCCAAGTTGACAGTAATTTAGTTTAATTCCAAATATGTTTCTGAGGTAGGAAAATTACCACCTTCCATGAAAATGCTGTTGTAGAAACCATGACTATCAATCTGTTGGTATTCTCTCCAATTTATTTTCAAAATCTCAACCATACTGTACATTCCCAAAATCTGGAGGGAGGATTATTTTTACTTTAGTAGGGAAATGCGAGGTTTGATTGTAATATGTAGAATACTGAGGTATTGCTCTCCAAATGATTTTTTCACGTACAGGTAACCTTGCATTATTATGCAGGTTGCCTTTTGGGTATACCCAGAATATATTTAATAGTGCTACCTATGTAGGGCCATTTCTCTGAAATTTTCTTTAATGGTTATCAGCAAATACGGGCTTTCATTCATGGGGTCCTGAAGATTAGTTCTAACCCTCTGTGGCTTCATTCACCGTCCCAAGGTAGAGATCATGCTTAGAGATCATGGTTTAAATTCAAGGTCAAGGCAGTATTAATCTAGTAGTTCCTTCTTTCTCTGATGGCAGGTAATGGCTGTTTGCCAGTTAACTCAATGTGATACTGAATGGGGAGGCAGGGAAGGGAGCTGACCTCTGCTCTTGGTGGTATTCTGCTGACGTATGACATGAGGAGAAGTCTGGCCTTCGGCTTTCATTTCCCACCCGTCTAAAAACATCAACACAGCAATGATTTGTGTACACTCCTCATTTTGATATTCACATCTGAGATCATGTTACCATGCTCATTTCCATGTACAGGGCTATGCAATGTTAACAATTTGTATGTGGTATCTTAGTAACAGCTGGGAGGATTCTTTAAGGAATTCCTAGGAAGTGTTCTAAAAATTGAATATTTGCTGTACTGTATTTGTGACTTTCAGTTTTGTCTGGCCACATAGAATGTTTTATTGTGAAATAAGATGGAAAAAAATGAACCTAATCACCTCTGCCTTTCTACCAACAAATAAGTAAACAAAATCCTTTGAATATTCCCAAAGGATAGTATCTTTTGACATATTTCCATGTGCCAATGTTTCAATTTTTTTTTTATTATGTTCCTGTTGTTGCAAGAGGTTGTTCCCATAGATTCAGTAAACTTCCATATAGGTTACATCTTCCTCTGGACTAAGATGTGTCTGTGGGGGTCCATTCCTTTTGATATTTTATTTCAAATCTCTTCTAGGGTTGACTTTATATCATAGTTATTCCTATCCTCCCACCCCCTACTGACCTTCCATTTTGAGAAAGTAAACCAGTGGAGCAAGAATGATCCAAGGTAGAATCTTTAAATATTATAATGTAATATTCAATATAATTGTTATAATGTGTGTATATACTTATCTGTGTGAAATATTCTGCCTTAGTTGTTACCTACCTACCTGTCTACTGTGAGGGAGAAAGTATAATTCTTTCTCTCTTCTTCAAGTCCTTGGTTTCTCCATTACTTTGAGTTAACATCTTTTTGGTGATATGTTAATTTCATGTTGTAGTCAAGCTGTATATTGTTGTCTTGGTACTGCTTACTTAACTCTTCATCAGTTCATTGGATTTGGCCTATATTTTTCTTCCTTTTTTTTTTAAACTTTTAAAATTTTTCTTCCCCTCCCTTTTCCCCTCCCTCTCCAAGACAGTGCACAATCTGATATAAGCTATACGTATACATTCCTATTAAATATATATTCAGATTAGTGATGTTGTAAGGAAGAATTCATTCGAACTGATAGGAGGAACCATCAGAAAGAAGAAACAAAACAAAACAGAAGTAAAAAAATAGCAAATAGTATGCTTCAATCTGTATTCAAACTCCATAGTTCTTTCTTTGGATGTGGATAGCATTTCTCATTATGAGGCCTTTGGAGGTGTCTTAGATCCTTGCATTGCTGAGAAGGGCTAAGTCTAACAACATTAGTCATTGCACAACATGGCTGTTACTGTGTACAACGTTCTCCTGGTTCTGCTCACTTCACTCAGCGTTAGGCCATACAGGTCTTTCTAAGTTTTTCTGAAGTCCGCCTGCTCATCATTTCTTATGGCACAATAGTATTCCATTACATTCATATACCACAACTTGTTCAGCTATTCCCCAGTTGATGGGCATCCTCTCAGTTTCCAATTCTTTGCCAGCACAGAAAGAGCTGCTATGAATATTTTTGTACATGTGGGTCCTTTTCCCATTTGTATGATCTCTTTGGGATACAGCCCTAGAAGTGCTATTGCTGGGTCATAGGGCCTATATTTTTCTAAATCCCTTATATTCATCATTACTTACTACACAG